TACATAGTATGTACGTGCATAGGTATATATGTATGTATCTACTTTCTGTACTTGTATTTTTTACTATCTGAATTTTTCTTATGATTCGATTCCAGTTATCGTATTTTAAAGTGGTTTCCCAGCATCATCCCAATCTTTTTAACCTTAAAGGAATTTAGAAAAATTTGTGTCTGTATTTAAAACACAATATTTTAGTTTGTTCGCAAGTTGATATACAAAATATTTAATAAATTTGTTTTGACATAAGAGAAACCTAAACGGAAAAAGCGATATTTTGATCGAACAAAAATATACACTGTTACTCTAAATGTTTTTTGATAATTCACACTAACTACTAAAGAGTTTCAACTCAAAAAATGACAAATGTTTAAGAGGAGCAAGGAACAATTATTGTAAAAATTATTAAAAGTACTTGTTACATAGTATGTACGTGCATAGGTATATATGTATGTATCTACTTTCTGTACTTGTATTTTTTACTATCTGAATTTTTCTTATGATTCGATTCCAGTTATCGTATTTTAAAGTGGTTTCCCAGCATCATCCCAATCTTTTTAACCTTAAAGGAATTTAGAAAAATTTGTGTCTGTATTTAAAACACAATATTTTAGTTTGTTCGCAAGTTGATATACAAAATATTTAATAAATTTGTTTTGACATAAGAGAAACCTAAACGGAAAAAGCGATATTTTGATCGAACAAAAATATACACTGTTACTCTAAATGTTTTTTGATAATTCACACTAACTACTAAAGAGTTTCAACTCAAAAAATGACAAATGTTTAAGAGGAGCAAGGAACAGTTATTGTAAAAATTATTAAAAGTACTTGTATACAGTCAAATCGTCGTCTATAATGTAGAATATCTTCTTCAAAGAGCGTCTTACTCAAATATGATCGATTTTACAGTTGAACGGAGAAGACATTTTTGAGTTAAAACAATGAATAACAGTGTGATAATCACAATTATTTCATCGAAAGTGACACATTTTAAGCAATAAAGATGATTAAACTCACTTTTTTTCAGATAAAGGGACATAACTTCGCAAAATATAGCAGAAACTTCACGATTTATTTTAGCAATAGCGACACAACTACAAAAAGTACTCTTTTGGTGATACTGCACAATCGAGGCAAACGGTGCAATTAATACAAAAGTGATTTTCCAGTTAACTAAGATAGTAATGACAATGAAATTTCTTGGGTAGATATTGATTTTAAAAATTTTTGAGTTGTGACTCTTTTTTAGTTAAGTTGCTGTTTTGCGGTCAACTACACCATCGAAAACCGTTTCATAAGATCGTAGAGGAAGATAAGAAAGCGCAAATTTTTTATTGCTTTGAAATTTATTGATCACAAAGCCAACAAAAGAAATGTGCTGTGACTTCGATTGCAAATGCATGTGTGTATAATATATGCATGTAAACACACGTAGACTAGAATAAATACATTCATTTCTCGTTAAAGCTCAGTAATTGCTTAAAAATATTTAATTACTCATCCAACACGAGTCGGCCAATATGCACAGACATACTTACATAAATACATATGTATGTTTTGAGTTGTTATGGACCGCATACACTCGTGTGCGTATTCATATTCTGGCTTATTTGTATGCGTAAATATGTAGATACATTTGTACGTGTGCCATAATCAGAATAGCGTCTAATCGTCAACCCTCCATATTGGTGTCCGAAATCAAATCTTGCTTGGCGATTTGTTTCATTGCGTTTTTACATATTTGGCATAGAAAATGCATCACGGCATCAGCAGACATGGCATGAATCATAACATTCTCGTACATATGTACATACATACATATTCTTACATATATTTAAGCCAGGTTCAGTTGGATATGAGTGCCAAGGCTCTACTCGATTCGCGTCTGCTTGGCGTTAAGCTTACAACAAAAAGTAGTTCCGTTAGTTATACAAATTGATATTTACTTATCTGTTTCCCACATACATATGTATGTATTTATGTACATTTTGTTTTGTACATATATATGCATGTTATTTTGATTTTAATATTTATTATTTGTTTTCTATTGAGGGAAATTGGTTGGTAGTCGGTTAAATTTTTTACGTTAATATTAAAAAATTAGATTTTCAATATATACACGTACATATGTATGTACAATAAGGTGCAACTATAAAATATGATATTCTTTTTAGTGTTCTTATTTCGAGATGCATACCACAATAACTTTATTTTTTAATTGTTATCTGTCTGTCTGTTTGTTCCGGGTGACCCCTGAAAAGGCTGGACTGATTTTAATTGAACTTCCGTAGGCAGATAGAGGCAAGACCACAACCAAACGACTCTCACGAAATGACATTGCGTTAGTGCGTTTACAGTGTGACAAAGCGAATCAACGGGTCTATTCCGGACTTAATATGCACACGTGCAATTGAATATATCAAAATTAATATTATTTCAGGTTGAGCGGCAATTAAATTACAGTTGGCCAATTTGGAATTAAAAAAAGAGACTATATGATATTTTATCGAGTAAGAACTAGTTTAATTTCATAAAATATGGACTTCCGTCCGCTCCAACCCTTTTAGTCAACTGCTGATTACAGTAGGGATAAAGATTGTAGACTGTTTTTATCGTCTCTTTGTTCCATAATAATCCAAATAAATTGCCATAACTATTATCATATTAGGGAGGGGCATCTGCAGTTTAAATTTGTTTGAAAAAGTAGGCGTGGTCTCGTCTCCTAATATGTTTAATGTGCATATACCCTAAACTGCTAAAGCTGTAATAACAAAATTCACTGAGAACAAATATTTTTAGCACTTCTATCGACAGTGTGAAAATTGGTGAAATCGGGTGACAAGCCTGAGACACCGGCACTGTCCACTTTTAGGTGAAAACACATTTCTTGGGATCTGATTAACCGATTTCAACCAAATTCGGTGCATAAAATTCATCTCATATTTTTATGTTATGGTGCGAAAATGGGCAAAATCAGATTACAACCACGCCTATTTCCCATATAACACCATTTTTAATTCCTTCTGATTCTTTCACTTTTCACTATGCAAATTAAGCAACAATGATTGTATCGGGATAAAACTTTGCGTGAATAATGCGTTCAAAGTATGCCACCTTGTGACCAAAAATTGTCTAAATCGAACGAAAATATGTGGACCCCAATGCCTATAGTTGACTTTTTACCGAAAATATCGGTCAATGTGTAAGATATATAATTCAAATTCATATAATAAAATAAATAAATGAAACTCTCGATAATAGTATGTTTTTGTGTCAAATGGGTTAAATCGGATCAATACTTCCTTTAATATACAATTTTGCCAACACCTGACGTAATTTCCCTTGTAAGTTGCGAGAGTATAAAATGTTCGGTTACACCCGAACTTAGAACCTCCTTACTTGTTAATAGTTGAAATTTAGTTTTGAGCCTTTTCATTATGAAAAATTATAATTAAAAAACTAAATGTGTGAAAAATCGTGCATACAAATTGAGCAATGGCAACATTGGTCAAATGAAAACAAAAGAAAACAACCGATTTCTATGTTGCCAATACGGTCATAACTTTTGACAAATTTGGTTTGATATGAGCAGTAAGTACGGAAGAGCGGAATGTCGGTGACTGTAGAAGTAGCAAAGAAAATTTTAAAAGTTTTTTCTCTTTAATTGATATTCAATTTTAAACAAAATGGTTAATAATACAAAAAATAAAATATGCAATTCTAAAAAAACAATTAAAACTAAAACCACTCGCATGTATTCAATTATGCACCTGTTAAGCTTTTAACAAAAAATATTAAAGTTTATCGTAAATTTGCATTGTTTACGACTTAAATAAAACATTTAACTGAAATTGTGCTTTATTGAGCCTGGTAAGAACTTTTTAATAAATAAAAAAATATTGTTTTTAACAGTTATTATAGCCATGACAAGAGCAGGCTCTTCCTCACAAATGTTATCAAGAGCTAAAAATAAGCCAATCAGTGATCATAAGCGTTCAGAAAAGGCGAGTTATTGTCTCCAAAGCACAAGTTGAAAAAAAAAATTTTTTTGACGGATGCAGACGCACGTCGCATGATAAAAAAATATAAATACGAACAAGCACTTGACACCAAAGAACGCATTTATAGAAATAAATAAGCTTGTTGGTAAGTAGAAGGCCAGAAGAGCGCTTGGCGACATTGACTACAAGTATATCGCAGCGCTAAAAAACAGAAACCTGCATTGTCAGTACAGAATGTTAGGGCACGATTGAAATTTGCCAGAAAGCACCGAAATTGGTCAGCTGATCACTGTAAGCTTTTAATTCTAACTTTTTTCTGTCTTAAATATATACATTTAAATAATAAGTTCTGAGATTTCCAAAAAAAACCAAATTAAAACTCTGCCATTGTAACGTCTTTCCGGTTACCCCTCGAAAAAAAGGTACGTCCGCGTTGTCAGCATAACTCCTGACAGGAACATTTAAAATTAAAAAAAAGATGTGTTTTAGTTGAGAATATAAACTCGTACTTGAACGAAGGAAAAAAATAAAAAGTTAAAATTGGAATTTTAGCAGACCTTTTTACAAAAAAATTAAAATTTCGGTCAAATTTGCTCGACATTTCTTTTTTTTAAATAGATGTAATTGAAAACAAACATCCTTCGTCCATTTACGAGTAAAATGTATCTCAAACACCGGTATAAAATTTCATCAAGATCGGTTGAGTAGTTCGCGAGAAATCTTGACAACCGACTTTGAAAACACAGCTTCGAGAAAAACGCGTTTAAAGTTTTAAGTGGCCATATAGCTGACTTCGAGCACGCAACTTTTCAAAGATGTATCTCCAAAACTATTACTGATATCAACTTGAGTATTTGGGACAATATTCTAAGATGTTATAGAATTAAACATTTTTTTTTGAAGCCGCGAAACCCATGTAACTCCTTAATTTGGTCAGTCGAATCAAAATTTATTAATTTTCAGTCAGATGGCAAACAATATTGGTGGCATCGCCCTCGGGAGACCATCCAAAGGCACCATGTTAAGCAAACTGTGAAGTATGATGATGGGGCCGTCATGGTATGGGGTTGCTGCACTTGGTGGCACGTTGTGCCTCTGCAAAAAATCTCTGGAATAATGAGGAAAGAAGACTACTGCATACTTTGCAGACTCATATATCCGATTTTGTGGAGAGGAGTGCTTATCTTAAAGAGGAAGTCATATTTTAACATACGTAATGGGTTACGGAAGAAAATTTCTTACTGATGCAGGGACCAGCCCAAAGTCCTTATCTCAATCCGATAGATAATTTGTGGTCAACTGTGAAAATAAAGTTGGGACAATAGCGATCAACCCCAAAGAATGTGGACGAGATTTGGCAACGGATACAGCGGTAATAGCATAGCATTCCAAATGAAATTACACAGAATTTGGTGGAAAGTATGCCATACCGTGTATAAAGTGTTTTGTGTAATAAAGGGTTGTGGATTAATACTAAAAATTAGCTAGGTGCATAATTGAATACATGCGAGTTGCTTTAGTTGTATTTGTTATAATCTTAGAATTGCATATTTTTTGTTTTGTATTATTAATCATTTTGTTTAGAATTAATATCAAATAAAGGGAAAAAAATATTTTAAAATTTTCTTTGCTACTTCTAACATTATGCAGCAATAAACATACGAATCACAAACATGTACTCATTTGTGCTCCGTACTGTATATGTTACGTATACGATCACTTACGCTCTTTTAGCACATGCTAAGGTTTTGCCGATCCCTGCAGATATCTGATAGGCTGATAGTAAATTAAGCTACTTTCTTTTAATTTTTATATTTTTACTACTTTTTTAATATTTTTTTCCCACAGAAAAACAGAAAGTAAATTTTAATTAAACTAATAATGCAAAAAACAAAAGTATTAAATGGAGAACTAGAAAAATTTCATTAAAGTTTCATTATAATTAGCATTTCTATACACGAAATACATAATTTACAAATTATTGTAAATTCTGCGAGCTGAGCAATAACATTCTTGTAAAATTCCACGAGACCGAAGTCGAAAGCACAGCTAGTTTTAACAAATGTAATCTAATAATTTAAACATATTTTTTTGATTTTATTAAAAATTGGGTTTGTTGCGAAAAGTTATACTGTGTTGGAGATGCTTCTGCAATAAGCACCTTAATTTCTAGGTTCCAAGGGAGAACTCCCAATAGGACCAAAAATGCCAAAGCAATAAAAAAATTAGTACAATATAATATTTTTTGATTCTTGGTCGACTTAATTCAGTCAAAACTAATTTGGCATTATTATTTCAGGAAAATTTGGGGCAAAATGCTGTATTTTTATATGTTTTGGAAATCGCGTATTCAAATAGATCGCATAACCACAGTACTACCGAACTTCTAATTTTATATTTATTTGTAAATAATAATTTATGACAATTTAAGACAAATTAACTTACACATGCCCACGCTCTCTTTTACCTAATAAGTAAAAACGGTTCCATATGTTTTCTAGTTAAAACTATCCTTCAAAATACATTTGGCTATCTAACGGTATAAAATTTAACTGTTGGATAATATGAGAGCCGTAGAAAATAATTTTGGATGTCCATAAAATTATTTTTAATGATATAGCGGGCACTCTAAAGATATCAAAGGAGGGAACATTTTTGGACATACAGGAATATTTGGATATATTGAAATCTAGATGACAGACCTAACAGGCAAGAGAAAGTGCCGTATTCAAAAGATTTGAAAGCAATTCAGTGAACAATGTGCAGTAAAATCCAGTTTTTGCTATAGAAGTAAACGTACTTTTCATCCAGCATGTTAATTTACGACGGGAAAGTTTATTTACGTTCATATAAAAAAGGAGACCCTCTTATGTATATAAAGATGATTTCAAGAATGATCATTTTACAAAAGTACTAACATTTAGCTCATTCGCAGAAATCACCTTACAAACGGAAAATTACCAGCTCAATGTCAAGTCTTATTCGAGACGATATCCTCTTGAAAGCTTATCAACTGATCATCTTCTTACAATGTGTGTAAGCAACTTCTTCAATGGCCTTGAACAAATTATTTAATAGATGAATAATTTTCACTTTTGAAGAAGTTTTTAATAAGCACAACGACAAAGACGCAAAAAATGCTATTCCAAGGGTTCAACGTGGTCAGCATCTAACTGCTGTAATGGTTTGGTGGAGAGTCTCCTGTAAAAGCGTTAAATCTCTTCACTTCTGTGAAAAAGTGTACTAGGATGTTTCAGAAGCCAAGGTAAAGGCAGTTAATCTATATTCTCTTCTATAGAGAGCATTGGATCTTCCAGCAAGATTCTGCTCCAGCAGACCACTCAACAGTGGCTCAAAATCAATATTTCTGGCTTTTTGATGCAAATGATTACCTATCTGGAAGTCGAGATTTAGATCCATTGGACTACAGCTTGTGATCAGAGTTGGAGAACATGGCCTGCCGAATACGCCACAGAAATTTGGAGAGTCTCAAAAAGTCTTTGTTTCGAGCAGCCACGTCAATACCAATAGAAACTGTGAGTGCTGCTGTTGATAAGTGGCTGAATCGTTTGAAGCCTTAAGTAAAAACAAAAGGTGACCATTAGTAAAATTTTGTACATCGCTCATTTAATATATGGATTATTATATAAAATTAACTTTCTCAAAAATATATTACAGTTTAATTTTTTTATATCTGTCTAAGCTTGTAACAGAACTTATGGCAGGACTAAGTAAATTAATGCTTAGTACACTTAATGCAAAACTTTAACTGCGTATAAATTTTAAAGGAATGTTTTCTCCAAAAAATAATTTTTTTAGACCACAAAATTTCTATTAGAATATAACTTTTTCAAAGTGGTAGTTTTATTTGTTTTGGAGATAAAAAATGTTTTGTAAAGATATTATATATACATATATGTACAAATGTATTAGCTTTGGTAATAATTCGATTATAGCGCATTCTAGCGGAGACGTTTTTCACTACTGAGTTACCTTTTTCTGGCAAATATATTGTATCTTCAATATGTCTACAAGACTGGTCTATAATTGCAGTTTTTAATAATAAATCGACGCTTGCCCTAGTTAACCTAATGAACAAATATAAATAAAATATATACAAATTCATGTGCCTATATGAATTAGTTACGCTCGATTAACAATTAGCTATCAATCAACTTTTTTTTATGTTATGAGTATTTCATACCAGTCACATAAACGTTTTACATCACATTTCAAAACTTTAAAGCGTTTTCTTCACAACTTACGTTTTCAAAGCCATTGCCCCTCATTACTTCAAAACTACTGCACCGATCGTTTTAAAACTTTGAACACTCTTTCTTCTTACGAGGTAACGCTGGAGAGTTTTTTCAAATTTGTTACTCTTTTAAATTTTACAGTAACAAATTAAACGATTTTTCGTGTTTTTCCTTTTAAGGTGTACCCAAAAGTGAAAAATCAAATTTTGAAAAACCCTCTAGCGTTTCCTGGGCAACGCGATTATGTAATAATATATAATAATATTCGTTTCAATCACGTCCCCTTTTTTTGTTGTGATAGCTATATATTCTTTTCTTACCTCATATACATACATACGTGTCTTTTTATACTCTTGCAACATGTGGCTACAGAGTGTAATAGTTTTTTTCACCTAACGGTTATTTGTATCACCTAAAACTAATCGAGATAGATATGGAGTTATACATATGGTATATATAATCGGCATGACGAGACGAGTTGAATTCGGAGTGAATGTCTGCCCGTGCTAGCTATAACTTGAATAAAAATGTAGATATCTTGATTAAACTTGGTACACATTTTCCTTAGTCGAATTGAAAGGACGAGTTCGTAGATGGGCACAATCGAACCACTGCCACGCATACAAAACGTCATTAATATAAAACCTATCAATTGCCATAAAACACAAAACTGTAATTTGTACAACGATTCGCAATAAGCAGGGGCACCTTTGGTTTGAAAAATTTTAAAAAGTGGGCGTGGCCCCGCCTTTATAATCTATTTAATGTGTATATTTCCCAAAACATTCAAACTAAATCACCCAAATTTGCACAGGACAAATTACTTCAACACCTCTGGCGACAGCGTGAAATCTGATGATAACCACGCCCACTTCCCATAAAACGGTACTGTTAAAAACTACTAAAAGTGCTATAAATCAATAACTAAATGCGTCAGAGACATTATATTTTACATCCAGAATGGCATAAGAGGGCTTTATAGGAGCAGGTGCAAAATGGAATATGTGCGTGGCACCGCCCACCTTTAGGTGAAATCACATATCCCGGGACTTATCCGACCAGTTTCCGAACAAAGGTAGGTAGCATAATTCTGACATTCCCATTCGGACTACAACCATGCCTACTGCCCATATAACCCAACGTTAAATTCCATCTGATTTTTCCACTTTCCAGTATACAAATCAAGCACCAATTAATATATCGAGATAAAACTTTGCACGAATAGTGCCTTTAATCCTCCTCAGGTCTAAAAATTGTCAAAATTGGACCATAACTATTCAACTATTCACTCTGATCGGCCCATCGCCTACGCGCCGTGTCTGATATGCTATAGATTCGAAACTTTTTGATTACTGAAGATTTCTTATCTTAACGGTATATTTTATATTGTGTATATTTAAGTGTACAACACGTACATATGAACGGAAGTAAATAATAAAGTATTAATTTAATAAAAATCTTAACATGGATCGAAAATACTTCTGCATGTAAGAGCATGTATGTAATCGAGGTCTCTTCAGCCTTAATTGCATCCCAACGGTCACAAATGTAATGTTTCATATCTGCAAGGTATATTCAAATAAAAGCTTAATATCTGAGCTTTTCAACCACCGAAATACGGTAAGTTCAATTGACCCTCCAATTTTAAATGTTGTATGGACATATTCGGAAAAGGAAGGTTCTTTTTTCACTGACAATGTTCCTGTTTTCACTTTTTAGGCAATAAGATATGGTAATGTTATAATGCGAGGCATTTGTGAGTATTTATATATGGTATATGGGCATCAAGGATATGCGAATTGAAATTGTATTGCATTGTAATTTTATATAATTGCAAAATGATTTTCACCAAAAACTCGTTAAAATGAAAAATGCCGTCATGAACACCCACGTAGGACCGCTGGAAGTAATAAAGAAAACAGTGCCATCGAGTATTTAATATACCTAATACGAACTCACAAGTGTACATGCATATGTATGAATGTACGTATGTGCTTTGTTGTTTATAACGTGCGTGTATGCCAGAGTCGTTGTTTGTACATTTGCTCGCTTTCAATATGAGCTGTGTATATATGTACATACATGATTACATATGTAAGTATGTAAGTGCATATTGCCATTTGTAAACGAACGAAAATAAATACGTGTTTCAGCCGGTTTTGAAACGCTCGTAGGTTGTTGAGCGACACATCGCAGACACATACTCCATTTTCGTGGTATATGCACATTACAATTTATTTAATACCTAACTCTGACTAATACTGTCTGGACGCCTGCAGTAGAGTATACTCTATAACGGGCTACAAATTTTTAATTAATTAATTTATTTCTCAAATCAATAAATAATTTTAAATATTGTATACGGAATAAATTAATGCTTTTAAATCTAATTTCCTTTATTAATTTTCCACTATTAAACATTTAGATATTTAAATCTTATATTTCGGTTGCAAGCAGGATAAAAAGATATAAATAGTAGGAATATGCCACAGGCTAAATAAAAAATCACATCTAGGCAAAAGTTTTATTAAACTACCGTTCTTATAGACTCTCGGGTCCAAATATAATTTTTTCAACGAATTATCGAAAGCAACATGTTAATTTTTGCTCCCATAGTTTGAAAGCCGTTTCAAGGTATAGTAGTAGTCTTGAATAACGAAATACCAATTCTCATTTAGAAGGGATCATAACCTACCCAGCAAGTCTGTTTGTAGAGAAACGAAAAACTGGCGGTCTACAGTGGTCGATTGTCTAATAATTTCGACATTTGCCAAAGTCCCGTCGAGCTTTTAGTTTAAATCTTTCAAAGATTGACTAGACTCTAGAGGTAATTGTGCTGGATAACAGAATGGAGGAAGTAAAGTCACAAGTAGCACGGGATAGATACTTCATTTCATCTATCATTGTAGGGTTAAGACTTTCGACCTCAGCTTGCTTGTTATGATTACAGAATAAATAATTCAAAGTAATAAATATACGGATTTCTCGGGCTAATCATTCTCTAAAATGGCTTTTTGTACAGCAGTGGCGGATTTGCCAGCAGGCTGAGTTGGCTGAAACCTTGGGCGGAAAATTTTGAAGGGTGGCAGATTTCTCTTTCAAATTTACTATTTCTGTTTACAGAATTAAAACAAAAATTATTAAACATTAAACAAATTAAAAAAGGTAGATAAAAAAATTACTAAATATTTTCCATGTAAATAAACTTTCGCTTTTTATTAGATACGTTTTGGAGTCAGATGAACCATTTGAAAGGCTTCTCAAGTCTGTGATGTACAATGTCTTGCATGCAAAAATTCGAGAGCAAGTACGAGTCTTGTTCTTCTAGTTCTTTGAATCTAGTGGCCACGGCAGCTGCTGAATCGTCTAATCTTTATACATATTATATAGGTATTTATAGATTTAAGATCTAAATTACCCTACTTTACAAGTATTACATGATTGAAATTTATGATAAATTATATTTCGCTGCTATGAAACTAATCAAGGATTTTACACGTTACCTCGGTTATTAATGATACTACCATACGTGAGAAGTTAATGCGTATGATGGAGCAAAAATTATAAAGTTGGAATTTTATTGATAGAAAATAAAATTTACATGATGGTGTACTAAAGCATAAACATTTGGAGGCGGCAGAGGAGAGAAGTTGATTATCTTAGAGGCGGCAATTCTATAAATCCGCTACTGCTTTACAGCCTAGGGGTTGCTCACCAGCCACCTACCGGTCATATTGCTCTCGATAGTCTGTATCCTAAGGATTATTTTGCATCGGTTTCTGTCGGTGCTGATAGTATATAAGTATAGAGAAATCAGATAGACCTTCATAGTATATGGAATGTTGGCTTGGTAAAAAATCGTATAAAAAGTATTACCGTCAGAAGATAAATGGGAAGTGATAGTAATAATTCGGACAAAATCAGTTTCATCAGTAAGTCTCTTCTAAAGTAAGATGAGAAAAATCTGTAATACCTGACTTAATGGGTGTGACCTCTAACTAATTTTTCAGGGATTTCAGAAACACACAAGTAATATATAATATTATGTTTGCATGTGTTTTGCACAGCTATTCACTGTTCCACCTAATTTTAAATGTACGTTGATGCCTAGAACCAAATTTTCATGAAAAGTGCCGATATTTCAGGTAGAGAAAAAGGTTTGGCTTGATTAAAAAACAAATAATAATAACGTGTAGGTGACGCAAAATACTGCTTGATAAAAGTCAAAGCTTTAATGTTTTTTTTACCAAGCATTTAAAATTACCATATTCGAGAAGGCAAGCAAAAATCTGCAGACTCAATATGAAACGTGTTTTTAGATATTCCGCATTGAACTGAGCTGTGTAGGTAAAGCTCTGGAACTCGGGCTGACATCAAAAGAAAAACAAAAGTTTCGCATTCGTCTACATAAAGCTGCCTTCACGCACACAAATACATACAATCCAAGTTGTGCACTGCCTACACTTGTCGGTGTTTACCCACATATGTACATGCATATAAGTATCTAATATATATATACCTATGTATAGTATAGCGGAGCGACATAACGATCGTGCTTTCGGACTTGGTGCAGTGTGTTGGTGTGGCAGCAGCAGTTGGGGAAGGCGAGGGGGCGGTTTTAAATCCCACTCTGCTTTCTAAACGTAGCGATTTGTGCTGGTACGTGGCTAAAAGCTGTTCCAGCTACCAACTGAGCGATCAGTTCGCTTTGGGCATTGGTACGCGTTGGACGCGATCTTCGGAAAACTGCTTGTGATTTTTAAACGATAAACGAAACGACTGACACACAACCAACAACAATAGAGCATTAACAAATTAAAAAATAGCCACAAAAAAGAGAGGAAAACCAAAGAAAAAACGCTGAATATTTATGTAGTGGAACTTTCGGATGCTGCACTTGTGTGTTTTGTGAGATTTTTCTTGAAATAAATAGTGTTTGCTAGTGCTTTTAAATTGACTGTTTCATATTAACTATAATAGACATATACCGCTTTAAACAACATTGCCCAGTTCATCGCGTTTTTTCGTTAGACTTTTTATATTTGTACGCGCGTCCGATAACATTAACTGTGATCGATAAAAGACATAACGTTTCTTGTAACATTTTAAATTAAAAAAAAAAATCAATCGAATTTTGAACTTCCTAAAAAATTATATTTGTTAAAATGGTATCGAAAGGTAGCAAAAAGAAACAGCAACAAGTTAGTGTCAGCGGCAGCAAAAATGCTGCAAGTACTAGCAGTTCCACCTCGAGTTCCTCGAAAACTGTGGTGCATACCGTTGGCACAGAGGCAGCATTTACAAGCTCGTCGGCGGTGGAAGTGACTTCGACGGCGTCGCCTACGTGGACGAAAACCTCACAGAAACTGCGAAAACCCGAGTCAGCGGCGAGTAACAAATCGATGTTGACAAACACACACTCTGGCACGCAGTCGCAGTCTCAATCGAAGTTGTTCAAGAGCAGCAGTAGCAGCAGCAGTCACATTGAGTCGAGGTCAGAGCAACAGCAGCGACGCCTACAAATTGAACAGCAGCAGCAAGAACAGCTGTACAAGAGCGTCAGCGACGCGGGTAGCATCGGTGGCGGCGATTCAACGCCAATCGCTTCCATAATGACTGACACAATGAAATCGACGAAAGCGTCATCCTCATCATCCTCATTTCAAGAGAAATCAGAATACTATGAAGAAATCTCGAATGATTTTTCCAATGCTAAGATAATATCATCCATCGATCTGCTTGAGAGCGACAAAAAGGAACCAGTTTTTTCGGTGCCGATCGATGTCATTGAGATAGTTGGCAGCGGTAGCTCCAGCCTTGGCAGCAATTACAATAAAGCTTATGTGCCCTCTTCCCAGTCACAAACCGGTGTCATGACAAGCACGAGCAGTTCTAATTTCGCACACATGGAGTCCGCAAACAGTAGCAGTAAGGTCATTGATGGTGGAGTTACGATCTCCGATATGTCCACCGAAAACTCAAAGTCTATTTTGTCCACATCGAATACAGCAAAGTCGGGCAAAGTCACATCTACAAATGTTGAAATGACATCATCGTCAAACAAGTTTTTAACGAATGATGTGAGCAACAGAAGCGCCCAAGTAATCAGCTACACGTCGATTGATGGCCAAGCCATTAATGGTGCTACAACACCAGTAATAGCGTCGCTAATCACATCGCCTGCAAAAACACAACAAACGTCAACGGCATTTACAAAAAGTACACGGAGAGCAATCGATGACGACAGACATTCCATTACCTCCACCGCACACTCCGAATTTACAACTCAAGGTGATAGTACAGCGAAAAACCTGAAGAGTGACGTAGTTGAAAGTGGTAGCAGCAAGCAATTGGCCTCCAATGTAACTAACAAATTATCGAAAAAGTCCTCTATAATAGAGCAAAATATCTCTGAGCAAACAATTGAAGAAAGCTCGTTGAAGAAAAGCAAGAGCACTTCAAAGAAGGAGGTGTACGATATTAAAACTAAAAGGTGGACAGAACTGAATGAAAAGACCGGCACTGGCGTTACAAACAAAAAGCAACCAACAATCGAGCGTTACGTTAGTCGCGAATCCGACGGCACTTACAAAATTACGTATAAGAAAAAAATATTCGATCAGCGTGCGAACAAGTGGAAAATCGTCGAAGAGAAGACAGTTGACAGTGCTCATGATACTCATTACCCCGAAATAGTTGATGATGTCATCAATACGACTACCACAACATACACAACAAAAGTATATGATACTAAGACCGGAGAGTGGAAAATCGTTGAAGAGAAATCATTTGTGGACTCAAAAGCTTTCGTGCCAAATGACATTGTTCGTGAAATTGAAAAAGACAATACTGATCTGGCGAACATTACTACTACCACTGAAGTAACAAAGGTAATTAATTACGGCAAGGTATTTAGAAATGCATTAGGGTATGACGCATTGTTTAATTTAGCGAAACGTGTTTATGCATATTGTGTGAGTGTGAGTGTGGTGCTGTCGTTTTAATGTCGATATGAAATTTTCTTGCATTTTTGGCATTGCATTTTGAAAGATTGTTAAGTATGTAAACATGAGAAATTATTAATTTTAATTTTTGAATCGATCGGAAATTAATAACTCTTTATAAAGATAATCATTTGGCAGTAGTCAAGTCGGAAAACTAGAACAGAGTCGAAATAATAAATTTTAAAAATTTAAATGTTGTTGACTTGAAAGGTGAATATATTAAAAATTAAATTGACCGCAACTTTTGCTAAGATTATTTCTAACGTCAAAAAAGTGTATTTTAATTCTTTAGTTAAACGTCCATTGATTTGAAAAAATTACAAAACAATAAAAAACTTTAACTTCAATTGCATAAATACAAGAGATTCTTTACCAGAACTTTAGTTTGATTGGTCAATTTGTATGGTAACCATATGTAATAGTGATTCGATCTGAACAACTTCTTCCATCAAGAATCATTGCCGAATTTAGTAAAGATATCTCGTGAAATAAAAAAGTTTTACATACAAGCACTTAATTCCACTCGTACAGTTTGCCTGGCAACCAGAGTAGCATATAGTACATTAAAAAATAATTGAATTAACATTTGAATTAAATTTTTGTTGTATTCTCATAAAAATAAAATTTACCGGTTTGAAAAATATAAAAGAAAAATTTTAATCTGAATAATATAATTAACAATTAACCAAGTAAGGAAGGCTAAGTTCGGGTGTAACAGAACGTTTCATACTCTTCCAACTTGTCAAGTGAAGTGTTGACTTGCTTTTACCCATTTTGGCGCAATTTATAGTAAGATTTCGACAATTTGTGGACGTAAGGTGGAATACCTTGAGGTCACTATTTGCAATTTTTTTTTCTGATGACTTTATTGAAGTTTGATTTTTATACTGTGAAGTAAAAGAATCAGTCGGAATTTAAAAGCTAGTTATATGCGAATTAGGCGGGGTTATCGAGAAAATTAATTACTATATTGTATTGATTACGTAATAATTATTAAGATATGGTAAATACTAATTTAATGATATATATGAAGAATTTAGTATAAAAACTGCTTATCAAAAATCCTCTCGTCTAATGAGCAATCTTTATCAAAAAGCAGAGTGACTGTGTTTACGTGATCTTTCTGCATTTTTATCTGCGAAAAATGAGCAGCTTCAGAAAAAAACGTGAACAAAATTTCAGAACGATATCTGACATGGCTAAATCGACTCAGTTTATCACGCTGATCGTTTAAATTTATTATTTATAGGGTCCCCAACTTTTTTTTGGGTGTTACAAACATCGCCAAAAATTTATGTATATTTTTCTCACTCAATAGAATCGTTATACTTGGACGTTGGATAACTTAATAAAATTTTCATTTCCCAAAACAGATGCACCCTAATGTCATATTCTAAATAAAAAACTGTTTGGTGCAGAGAAAAGCTTACTGCTTGTTTTCAAAATTCAAATGAGCAACTGAGAAACTGCTTGAACACGTTGACGCAAACAAACAAATGAAGTAAAATATAGTTATCTAAGTGCCGTTTCACATTGGGATGCAAAAGAGTCTGATGTTTTTCAAATTTTCTTTTGGTGTCGCTCTGGGCATTCACACGGTCAAAAAGAGTCCAGCAACTCGAGTCTAGTTTTTCTGCATTCCTTTTCACAAAATGTTCGTAAATATTTGTGCGGTTCGACTGCGCAACACCGCGCAACACTGCGTGCTGCGTATTTCATTTGTATGTTGAGATGATGGTCACACATTTTGCTTGCAATGAATTACCATGAATATGGTAGAACAATATGCATAATACAAGTACCTACCCGCTAAATAGTTTCAAAAAAATACTAAAGACGGGAATTCCCTAATCTACAAGAATGTATTGAATATCCGCTACTAATATTTTCAAGGCCAAATTTATAATAGGAATTTCCTAATCTTTAAGTATTAAAAACTCATAATTTCTTTACTCCATAATCTATATCTTAATTTTCTCCTTATTTACAATTTGTCATAATATTTCTATTATTCTATGCATACGTATTTGCATATTACATACAAAAATAGATAACAGAACTCAAATTTGCGATCGAATTCATTTGAAACCGAGCGCTCTTGCAACCATTCAAAGGATTTGAAAGTGAAAAGGAATGCTGAAAAGGGTAGCAGCGTGCTGTTACGAAAAAGAACACAAAGCGTGCCACCCGAACACGAGTGGCACGGTCCCTTCGTCTTTCCTCGTCGTCCCCTCGCCCACAATAAACTGGTATGAGACTCTTTTGAGTCCCTGTCTGAAACGGCACTAAGTACCTCTGTAGTACATACATATGTACCATAAATATGTGTACGTATCTGCTAACATTTATACATACAAACTGCACATTTCAAGCACTCAAATATTTACACATTCCATCGCGTGTTGCTAAACCCTTTGAACTTAATCGCTCACCATACATGTGTATGTCTGCATGTAAATACATACTTGTTTGTTCATTCGGAATATGTATATAATATATTAAAGATACTAAACACACAGACAATTAATATATTTCTTTAGAATGCATTTATTAAAATATGCGTTATATTTCAACAGACAAACATATGCACATAAGGTATATATATATGTATCTACATTAAAAAAATTTGCTTTGAGTCACAATATCAATATGTACTTTTGGCTAATTGGATTAAATTAGCAGCAAAAGCGTCTTGAATAATAATGTGTGTCCAGCATTTGGCGGTATTTGTGTGAATTATAAATAACAAAAGCTGGCACTGAATGAAAATTAATTTCAGCATTTGAATCTTCGCCGTTTGAAGCGGTATTTTTATCCGCGGATCCTTGCTTTCTGCTGTCGGCTTGGATCTGTCTATTGTTATGACTATAAACGAGTCAGACTAAAAGTCATGCAGCCATTAGTCAAATTTGTACGAAAGGTTGTCGTATTGCTATCGAGAGCCAAGTTCCTGTTGTTGCTGTCAAAAACAAAAATTTGCTTCTGAGAAGGAGGGTAAGCTATAAAATTATTGTTAGGATTGGTATTGAGAGATATTTCCAAGTTTGCTTAAATAATTTGTTTTTATACATTTTCTTACAAAAGCTTCGTGATTTTTGTTGACTATGATTGTGTAAATGAATCGAGTTTGTTTATAAACAAAACTTGAACTTTTCATTCGAGATTTATTTGTTATCGTTTTTTTTTGAAATAAAGTATTTTTGAATTTGATTTTAGGGCCGTTAATCCTTTTTCGCAAGTTTTTGTAATTGAAAAAAAAATTTTTTTTTTTGGACTTTAGTAATTTGTATACTCTCGCAACCTGCTGCTACAGAGTATAATAGTTTTGTTCACCTAACGGTTGTTTGTATCACCTAAAACTAAGTAAGTTAGATATAGCGTTATGTCTCGTATATATTATATAAATGATCAGGAGGAAGAGAGTTGAAATCAGGGTGACTGTCTGTCCGTCCGTCCGTTTGTGCAAGCTGTAACTTGAGTAAAAATTGAGATATCTTTATGAAACTTGGTACACATGTTTTTTGGTACCGTAAGACGGTTGGTATTGCTGATTTGGTTGGTTATTTGAATTTTTTACATAAAAAAAAGTCTGTAAACAAAAGTTTTAGATCTTTTCATTACCTGCAACATTGCCTTACAATTTTTTCTATAGGATTCGTAGTTTTGACGGAAATCGGAATAAACAGTTTTTAACCCTTAAAAACTCTTCCCACCTTCAATTATCTACCCTGGTCTATAAAATTGAATTCATTAGAATAACGGAAGCCGTAATAAGAGTATGTACTGTAAAAAAAACAAAAAAAAAATTAAATTAAACTTAATATAGTATATTCTCCCTTCGTTTTGCTAAGATATCTTACGTATGGATAGACAAATTCAAAATAAAGTAAACCGGATGTTCGAAAATGCTTATGTTCGATGTATGGGGGCCCAGACTGTCCCGTCTAGGCTGTAGTATAAGCACGTCCAAATAAGATTATGTCTTTGAGATATGGCATAATATTTATGAAGGTGTTGGGTGTGGTTATTTTTTGATTTCACTAATTAATAGACTGCAACTAGAAATGCTAGACAGATATGTTCGGTTGATACAGCCTTAAGAGTTTGTAAGATATATGTACATTATGCCAACCAGAGAGCTATGTCCACTTTTCAAAATTTGTTAACACTAGTTGCTTCTCCCTACAGTGATATTTTCGACCAAATTTATGTTTCATGGCTTAATTTATGGCTTAGTGGACGTAACGATTGCGCCAGTTTCAAATGCCAACCTCCTTTACATGTCAAGGAGATATTTTTCTGAATCTTGAATGAATCATGGCACAAATAGTGCTCCTGAAATATGACAACTCTCAAGGGTCCAAAGCGCTTTGTGATGAAATCGGTCCTACGTTCCCTAAGACATTATACAGCCAATACCACAAATATCGGAGTGAGTGTAAGCTCTCTCAATAAAATAAGCGAATATATTTTGCTTAGCTTTATGTTGTATTGTAGTGCATAGCTGTTTGCTTCATCTGGGTTCTTATGTAGGAGCATCCTAAAATAATCTCTAAATAAACATATGTTTATTACATTCTAGGACTAAGAACTTCTTTGTTGTTGAGATTTCAAATAGATTAACCATTTATCAAATATGGAGAGTATTGCATCATTATTTGCTGACAACTCGGTATACAGCTGAAGTAATAAGACCTAAGCTCATCTCTACATAAAATATTTTGTTTACTAAGATTCATTAAGAAACTTATATAACCATTATATGCTGAGCTAAGTTATGGGTCGATGTAAATCAACCTTTTGAACAGCTACTCATCCCTTCAAATCGAAGTAATTACTAATTTATAAAAATCTGTTTTAATATTTCAGATATTTGATGCTAGCTTGAACGATTGGCGAGTCCTAGATGAGAAAACGCATACCGATGTGATTGAGAGAATCGTTGAAACGCCCAAAAAGACAATTTATATTGACGAATTTGTTGAAATCGAAAAAAATGTGAAGATAACAGAAGACAGTGAAAATATAACCAATGAACGTACTAATACATCAAAACGGAAGGATATTACCACAAATATATATGATGAAGTTGATGACGTTAAGAGAGAAAAGCTGACTAGTAGTGACTCAAGAATCGTAAGACGAACAACTACAATATTTGCTTGCATATGGGAAATGGATTTAAAATATTTATATTCTAGCGTGGAGTCGATAAAAAGGAAACATTTGGGTCAAAGCATACTGAAATGTGCATTTGCGAAATCTGTACTTGTGGGTAAGTAATATTAATTTTTATTTTTTAGATGTATTGGTTCGTTATAATGGACTTTTAATTCATATTTCACTTAAAAACATCAAATATACTCATCTCAGTCGCCATCATTGTGCTTCAAGCGTTAAGAAGACGGATGCTATTATAGAGACTATAGGTAAAGTGGAATAGCTTACTGTATATATGTATATCTTTTGTTTGAATTACGAATAACGTTTTTTTGTCAATTAATAGATTTGCTGGATGAATCTCAAACGCGAATAAGATCCAACACTTGGTCCAAAAAGGATCTTGAAGAAGCTCGATTCAAACTTTTGTATGATATTGAGGAGCAAGTCACTTTAATAAAACCCGAGGACAATTTGAAACCTGAGGGCGAATTCATAGTTCCCGAGAAAATTCCATTCCGACCGGCTGAAAGAACGGAACGCATTACTAGAAAAGACAACCTGCGCACTGAAGGAGAAATGACATTTACAGAAAAAGAGGAATACCAATATGTAACAAGGCCCTTGCCAGTCAAACCCATTGATAACCTCAAATCTGAAGGTGAATTTTATATGCCAGAAAAAACAACATATGTTCCAGCAGAAAAACCTACGCAAATTAAATATAAAGACAACCTAACACCGGAAGGACATTTCTACACTCCTGACAAACCAGTCTATCAACCAACAGAACGCCCGTTACAAAAGAAACCAGAGGACAATCTCCGACCTGAAGGTGAGTTCACAGTGCCTGAAAAGATCTCTTACGGACCAGTGGAACAGACAACACGAATAATAAGAAAAGACAATCTCAAAACAGAAGGAGAAATGACATTTGACGTAAAGGAAGAATACATATTTGTGAGTAGACCGGAAAAAATTAAACCAACTGATAATCTTAAACCAGAAGGCGAGTTTTACACTCCCGACAAACCTGGGTTTACACCTGCTGACCGTCCTATCCAGAAGAAGCCGGAAGACAACCTTAGGCCGGAAGGAGAATTCTACAGACCAGAAAAGTCTACATATCATCCAGGAGAACGTCCTACACAAGTTAGACAAGAGGATAACCTTCGACCTGAGGGAGAATTTTATGAACCAGAAAAGCCGGGATATAGGCCAGCAGAACGGCCAACTCAAAAAAAACCAGAAGACAATTTGAAATCAGAAGGGGAGTTCTATACACCCGAGAAACCCAAATTCCAACCTGGCGAGCGTCCCACACAAGTAAGATATGCTGACAATTTGCAACCAGAAGGCGAGTTTTACATTCCAGAAAAACCTGGATTTAGGGCTGCTGAACGTCCAACTCAGAAGAAGCCAGAAGATAATTTAAGGCCGGAAGGAGAATTCTATAAGCCAGAAAAGTTCACATATCAGCCAGGAGAACGTCAAACACAAGTTAAGCCAGAGGACAACCTTCGCCCGGAGGGTGAATTTTATAGTTATGAAAAACCGAGATATAAGCCAGCAGAACGGCCAACTCAGGCAAAGCCTGAAGATAATTTAAAGCCAGAAGGGGAGTTCTTTTCATCAGAAAAACCCATGTTCCAACCTGGAGAGCGTCCCACACAAGTAAAACATGCTGACAATTTGCGATCCGAAGGCGAATTTTACACTCCTGAAAAGCCTGGGTTTAGACCAGCTGAACGCCCCACTCAAAAAAAGCCAGAAGATAATTTGAGACCAGAAGGAGAATTTTATACACCAGAAAAGACCAAGTTTCAACCAGGAGAACGTCCAACACAAGTTAGTTTCAGGAGCGTAAAATTCACCCTCAGGCTTAAGGTTGTCCTCAGGTCTAACTTGTGTTGGACGTTCTCCTGGTTGAAACTTGGTCTTTTCTGGTGTATAGAACTCTCCTTCTGGTCTCAAATTATC